GGCTTGTGGCTGGAGAGAGGACATCTGGTTCCAGCCAGGAGACACAGCCATCTGGCCTGATGGGTTGAATGGAGGTCTAGGTCCAAGCTGGGAGAGCTGAGCTTGCTGTTGGGCCTGTTGCTGTTGGTGGTGCTGCTGTTGTAGCTGTTGCAGTGCTGCAGGGTTGAGTGGTCTTCCAGCCTGCAGAGCCTGCATGTGATGGGCAGCCTGAGGAGGCATGGGACCTGCGCCATGGGGACCAGCCTGTTGGTGTTGAAGCTGCTGCTGCTGCTGAACTGGCATACCTGGCATCATTGGGTCCATCACATCTGTGAGCGAGGAAGAAGCAGTTTTTCCATTACTGTGGTGACCAAGCCATAACATACTTAAAATTACAACATGTCTCATTTCATGCACAAGAAATAAAGACCTAAACCTGTCTGTGAAGATGGTCTCGGAACACGAGGGTGCATCTGTCCACTGCTGCCTGGTACCATGGCCTGAGCTGCCATGCCAGGCCCAGGGGGAACCATCTGCGGATTAGCCATCCTTACTCCTCCTTGTGGAAATATGAGCATATTAAATCTTTATGTGCAAGCACAAAAAATAGCTAATATCTTTTTATTCCATGTCTTTTTGGACACATGAATTAATCAGTGTTTCCATACCTATTAAACCATTATCAAAAAAACAAACAATCAATCACTACTACTATCCACAATTCAAGCACAATTCCATTCTACTTGATACATAGTGATCATGTACAGTATAATCAAATTAGTAAAATAATACCTGGACCAGGCTGACCTGGAAAGCCGACATCCATTCTCATCTGGCCAGGTGCTCCAATTGGTCCATTCACCCTAACTTCTTGTCCCCTATTTGGTCCCACAGCCACATTGATGGCCCCTTCTCCTAAACATCAACAGAGGGAACATCAATATCTAACATTTACTACAGGAGGTCCAGTTTCTACCCTTAATTTTCAAATGCCACAGATGGAAAAAAAACATTGTTCCTGTTTTCAAGTGACAAGGACTTTGAAGGCTGTTCTGTTACCTTCTATCTGCACAGAGAGAATCCCCAGGTCTCTGAGCTGCTGCTGGTTGTTCTGGGCCAACAGTCTGAGTCGCTCAGCAGCATCCCGAGGAATGTTGAAGGTAACCCGAACACTGTTCCACGGCTCCACATGCTGTGGCTGTAGCCTCTCAGAGCCTTAAAGAGGGACAATGAATGGATGCAAGTTGCAATTACTGAAAAAAGGTCTAGACACTATTGGTTAGAGAAGTATAAAGAAAGGGACAGGCATACAGAGCTATTGCTGGAATATGCAATAGCACACAGAAGAGGAGGCTGTGTAGTGGCTATCAATTCATAACCATATTGGGAAGTTCCTATTTGTTTGCAGTTTTTTCCAACATAAATAAGAGTTTAAAAAGACTAACCCATATCAAGCATATTAGGTATCCCACTGAGGATAGTATCAAGTTTTTGTGTGAAGTCCTCATCCTCCATGTTCCCTTGAAAGGCAACAAAAACTGTAAAATCTTCTCCCACCCCGCCGTTTTCTTCCATGCCATCTTGCTTGTTGACTTTCTCCTCTTGAGTTACTGTGCTTCCATGGCAACTGTCAGCATCCTCTCCTGCATCATCCCCAACACCAGAGTCCCTGTCGGAATCATTATCTGGTTCCAGGCACTCTGTCCTCTGGGACAGCTCAGGTGGAGTGCGTCGATGTGCCATCCTCCCCTCTTACCAGGAGTGGCGTTTGAACCGTTCTATGCTGAAATTCCACATGACAGAGACACAGATCACTACTCCAGCTCAGGAACCACTACTGCCCCACGCTGTCACAGTCAAGAAACGGTAGAGATGTCAGAGTAAAGAGGAAACAATGATTATTTGAGAACATATAGTTAGTAGATTAAATGCTGGATTAATAGGTAGCTACAAGTTCTCAGTTACAAGCTGTTTGCTGCAAGCTTCAGGCACAACAAGGTCATAAAATCTTTCTTTCTATAAGTTCAGATAAAGTAAATAAGATGACGTGAAAGCTAATGTTAACAACACACCTGCACGTTAGTGACATTACTATAACTGACGTTGCTAAACTTATAGTAGCAGACGTATCAAATGATTACAAACGGGACTGTAGGTGGTCGACATACCCAAACTGCTGTACGATTTGCATTAAAGTCAGATACACTGTGTGAATACATAACCACAAACGGTCGGCAGCTTGGTTAACATGATCGGCCCAGCAGTAGCACGGGCCTTAGCGCAAACGTAAGCTAACGTTCAACGCTCGAAATCGGCAGGGCGAACACAAATATTCCGTGTCCCGTGTCATTGTGAATTTTCATGCCGGTATGAACATCACTTACAAATCAAATTAATATGTTTCTAGCAAACACCGCAGTGTGAAAGAGGATAAAATTAATGCCAAGGCGGTTCCTGCTTCTCCGCAAGCTCCGGTTAGCAAACGCTAGCTACATTAGCTGGGCAGCACTGCAGGTAATTCATCATGACTGCACTGGACCACAACTCACTAGCTTCCCTATTCGTTAGCTCTGACATACTAAATATCATCAGCAGTAAATTACGCACGAGAAAAGCAAAACCCTTACCACATATATTCATCTGAAAGTAAGTTCAACCAGTCGACATCTGCTATCCAGATTAGCTAACAAAACATGAATCACAAGCAAGTCAGAAGCGACGTCAAGCTTGCAGAATAAAAAATACTGTTTCCGGTAGCGCTTTCCAAAATAAAGCCCCAATTGCGGAAGTGGTAGCAAAGTCCCTTTGAGTAAAAAGTATTTCGAAAACAAAGAAGTTTCCTCCAAACCTGTCGGTAGCCTTTTTGATATTTCCATTTAAATATAAAATTCTGGTTCTTACTGTCATATTATCATAAGCATTTTGTTTAGTCTAAAAATTTTACAGATTTCTATATGCAACGGATCCAACTAAAAGTAAACAAGAGTCTAACTGAATGTTCAATGTTCTATATACATCTATGCAACTGCTGTTCATTAATAATAGAACAGAATAATAAATGAATAGGCTATGTGGAACCGGTAAAATACATCAGCTCAGATTTAAAAGTCGGGCTATCCAAAAATCCCTAAACCTATTATCTCAAAAGAGCAAGCTCACTTATTTTACAGTAGGTCAAATGATCCAATTACACATGTATGGAGGAACAAAGTGGCAAACATTCTCCAGGGTAGGTATGTGTGCAAACACTTTATTTCTTGGGTTTGGCCGGTGATTTTTATTAAAATCAAAATACAAATACACATGGAGTCAAACATTGGGTGTTGTGCAAATGTGTGCCTGAAGGCATAGTACTCTACCATACAGGAAACAAGTAACAACAGTCATATTGCACTGGTACCCAACAATGGAGACAATAAGGTTGAGGAAATGTTTGATCAGTCAGTATTGCACATTCTGGACTTAATTTAACCATTTTTAGAATGCAATGCTTTACAAAAGCGGTTGGTTCTTACTTCAAAGTATAGCACCTAAAATAAAGACACCAGTACACAAAAAATTAAAAAATAAACATGACAGACATTTCTAGAATCTGCTTCTTGAATGCACTGTGTTACACCAGTAGAAATAAAGTATATAGCCCAACAAATGTTCATATAAAAATAGACAGATTACATTCAATCCAACTCTATAGAATCATATCATTCCCATTCTAAAAACAAGTATGCCCACTCTAAAAAAAGCTCAAGCTTTAAATGAGAACAATCATGCAACAACTCAAATTTCTTAAATTATATATTTAAATACACTTATTCTACGATTAGTGATATTTAACACCTGTTAAATTGAAGCAAATCCTCTTGTTGAAGGAAATCACCTCAGATCTGAAGGCCTTACCACCTTTCTGTATGATATATTGTGTAAATAATGTGTTAGTCTTTATATGGTCCCAAGGAGCCATTGATAGTTAACGATGGTTAAAACTCCAGCAGGTGTACCAAACAACATCTAATCACAGTCACAAACCATATAAAGAGCAGGAGAGTACTGTAAATGGTTTAACCTTGGTGTTGAGTTCAGGATCATCTAGTTAAGGTGTGACAATGCAAGGCTTAATCAATATCATTACCGTCACTATTCCATGTGATCTTTTGTGTTATTTGGAAAAATCGTGAAATGCAATGGAAGAACTGAAAAGCAGATAGGTGGGTAAAATGCACCGAGGACCATGCAGGAGCTGTAAATGGTGGCTTTGTGGTGTGGCATCATTACTTTTTCCATATCTGCCCATTCTTACAGAGAATCCATTTGATCACCACTAATTTACCTCCGAATACCTGATCACAAATTCAGAGTGCAACACTATTTTTTAAAATAGCTTCAAAAGCCATTACATTTTTCTATTTCCCTTTTCTCACACGCACTAAGTAATTCCATCATCTTCAGTTTATTGCTTTCTTTAAGTGGAACTGGAATGCATCAGATATTAATTTATGAACAGGTCTTGCATTTCTACATCCTGCTCTGCATAATATAGCCTGCAGACTTTGACTGATGCCATTGGGTGGATGGACATATTTTTTCGACATTATCTACACTCAGATTGAACATTACTTGAGGCTGTGAGAGAGAGAGAGAGAGGGCAGAGAGAGAGGGCATACCAACATTGGTATGTGAAATGGTGCTCCTTATTTTTTCTGTGTGTCAGCAAACAAATTTATCAGTGGATCCCTATTAGTTTCCTACAAAGTCATGTCAGAGAAAGACGCATGTCTTTTTGGTGAATGTTTTTTTTCTGTCAAACAAAAGTACTTTGCTGTCAAATTCTGTTTAGTGTACTGGTTGATCAGCAGCCTCATTAATCCCTCATTTACCATCAATTATAGTGTTACTCTTACCCCTTCCTCTTTATGTGCGAGTATTGGGGGCACACTAGGACATGTTGGACATAGTGAGGGCTGAGGCATCCGTGCTACGGGGGTCCTTGACTCCAATGATGAGGTCATTAGTTCTTCGGGTGCCCTCAACCATTGAGAGAACATCTCTCCTCTCAACTTTGTGACCTTTGGCCTGCAGCAGTTCCACGTCTTCATCTAGAAACTCAGCTGTAAGAAAGTAGGAGAAAGTGGGAGAGGTAGGATGATCTGAGGTTAGTGAGAAGCATGAACAATGAAAAATAAATGTCAAACTGAATAAGGCTTCCTTTACACCTGTTATTCAAATGTAATGTTGACCAGATAATGGAAAATAACACTTGGTGTGTCTTCACACAGAAGGTGTAGCAATCACAGTCCGTTCAGATTGTATGTCTATGAGGACTTTCAGTCATGCAGGTCATAGTATATCATGTTTAAAACCAAGAGCACGCCAATGGCTTTGACTTAGAATTTAAAGCTATGATCAGATTATATTTAGATCTAAGCCAGATCCAAAACTTCAGATCCAGGAATATCCTGATCTTTGCTCTGTATTGGATCAGCTTGCTAATGAATCACAAATGGATATCTATCATTCCTGGTGCCACCAAGTTTTGCAATATGGGTTTTGCAGAATTTACAAACTTTATATTTATGCTGCTTCCCATAAAGAAATTGCTGACTAATGTTCTCAGTACACACAGAATTCATTCAACATTATACTGTAACATGACAACCCTTTGTTTGAGGTACTTCCTGCCTTCTCACTGACCCATCTGCTTTGCATAGTATACACACATCTATGGTCTGATGTTAATGTAAATACTGGTCCAAGGGCACTATTGGATAGGAAATCAGAACTGTAATTGGAAACAAAATCTGTCAATCTGTCCACAGTTTTTGAAGTTCACTCTGTCATATTAGCACCAAACTACACAATAGATTGATCAGTTGGAAAAACTCACAGTCCACCAGGAGGGTGTTGGGCTGCAGCTGTGGGTGGAGTCTACCATATGCTAAACTGTCACTCATGTTTTTACGTGAAGACAAAACATTCATCAGCACCTGTGAAGGATAAGGAAACAGAATTGATATGTATAATAATACAACATACATAAATCCATCCATCTATTTTACGCTGCTTATCCACAGTCGGGTCACAGTGGTGGCAGGTTAAACTAGGTAGTCCAGACATCCCTCTCCCCAGCAACATTTTCCATCTCCTCCTGGGGTATTCTGAGGCATTCTCAGGCCAGAAGAGAGATATAATCTCTCCAGTGTGCTCTGGGTTTACCACGGGGTCTCCACCAGTCTACGAGTTGGATGAGCATAGAAAACGTCAAATGGAAGGTGCCTAGGAGTCATCCTGGTCAGACACACAAACCACCTCAACTGGCTCTGTTAGATGTGAAGGTGCAGCAGTTCTACTCTGAGCTTCCCCTGGCTGTCTGAGTTCCTTACCATATCTCTGCGCGTGAGCCCAGACACTTAAAGGAAACTCATTTTGGGCCCCCTTGTACCCACAATCTCATTTTTTCGGTCACCACACAGAACTCATGACCATTGCATTACTGCTGACGCTGCACAAATCTGCCTGTCAATCTCTCATTAATGAACAAGACCCCAAGATACTTTAACTCCTTCTTGAAACCTTGAAATCCTGTGCATGACAATCACAAACTGATTCGGTGAAAGCCCTGATGAAAATGTGTTTGACTTCATGCCGAAAATATGGATCAAAACTTTCTCTCTGGTTATATAAAGATTGAATAGCTTGTAGAAATGGCCCTGATACCCCATACTCCCCCACAAGACTCCTCGAGGGAC